AATCCCTTCTCCTCTGTTTTCTCAGGATTTGGGGCATGTGTGCACACACACCCAGTGTGATTTTCAAGTTGCTGGGTCCAAGACTTGAACCATGGTTGGCCATGTGAAAATCCAGTGCCTTAATCACGGTACTTCCTGCTGGCCCCACCCCCATCACCCATTAATGACTTTTGTGCCTTAGTGGGAAATTCTTAAACAACCATCTAATTGGTATGGTTTAACCTTTCAGCTGGCTCTCAAAGTAGGTCTCCACAGACTGGTTCAATCACAATAGCCAGAAAAGTAGGGTCATATGAAATAAACATGGATGACTAGGCCCATCTGTTCAGCATGGGAACAGATTCTTTTAGAAGGAGATGTGGGCAGAAAGGCAATTTTATATACATTTCTAGTCAGAAAAATCCTAGGGGTGAAAATGATAGAGAAAAAAAATGACACCAAATTTAAAGACAAAAGAAAAGCTGCCACCATGATTTAAAATTAATCCACGTTGGGGCCAGCAGTTGGCATAATGGCTATGTCGCTGGACTTCCATGTATTCGACCATGGTTTGAGTCCTGGACCCAGTGGCTTAAACTCACTCCGGGCGTGTGTGCGAGCATGCCCAAGATCCTTAGAGGAAAATGGAAGAGAAGGGAAAGACTTGAACCACGGTCAGTCATGTGGGAGTCCAATGTCTTTATCATTATATGCCATCTTCTGGTCCCCAAATTACCCATTTTCAACTCCTGATATTGCAGAAAACCTGATGCCGAGGAATGGAAAGCAGCATTTGGAGAGATTAGGAGAACTGTTTATTATGCCAGCAGGCACTGAGGAGTTAGCACTCCGAATTCTCTGGCCCCAGCAGGGGCTGGACACAGTCTTTCATGGGGGGAATTGAGGAATGGGAGGTCTCGGGTGGGGATTGGGCTCAGGACCTGCCCTACACAGCATCAAAGGGAGGAGTCAGAGAAGCAGGAAGTCTAATCTATTCAAGGTACCAATCCATTCAAGTACTAATCTTTTCAAAGTATTCATCTATTCAAGGTACTAACCTACCCAAGGTTTTCAGGTTACTCTGTAGCTCCAGGAAGGGGCAGTAAGTTTGCTGGAGGGCAGAAACCTTAGACAGCTATCAGTCCTGAGTTAATAGTCATAGGAATTTAACAGTTTATAATGTAGGCGCTTCTCCAAGATGGAGTCGCTCCTCCAAGATGGAGTGTTGCCTGCTTCACTGATGGGTGTTAGAGACTCCCATCCCCAGACTAACTCCAGATGTGTTTTCTGGAAAGGGAGGTAGTTTTGAGTTCTTAGCAGTAGCTGTGACTCAAAGAAAAGTACTGAGTAGTTATTGGAGTAGTACAATCAAATGCCTGCTAGAGTGAAAAAAAGGAACAGAAAGCCAGGAACAAGGCTGGCAAGTGGCATGGTGGTTAAGACCCTGAACTCCTACATGATCAACCATGGTTTGAGTCCCAGACTGGCAGCTTGCTTTCACTTTCCCTTTAATAACAAATAAAATAAATAAATAAATACCTTTAAAAAGAAGGAAAGCCAGAAATAAGTGTACTTCTTCGTGTTGTTAAGGTGTATTACTGGTACTCTTTGACCTTAATAGCCATCTAACTTGACACTACTTGAATGCCAAGTAAGTAATGAACAGATGCTCCCTAACCCCCAAAGTCCAGGACTCCAGGAATGTGCTGAGGGCACATCCCTCTGAGGCATGGAAATTGCATTGAATGTTTTTATCTAGGGTTCTAATACCCGAATTAAGACTGCTTTGCCTAGACTAACCCAAAATATTAAACATAATAAAGCCAGGCTAAGGAAAAAAACATTTAAAAAATGCAGAGAACACTTTAAAAAAAAATGTTATTTGACCTGTGGCTAATTCTGATCTTAGCTGAAAAAAGAACAAGTCCTAGTGATGGTTAAGACTGAAGGACAAATTGATACTTAAAAGAAAGAAGGAATGACTTTGACATAAAGGCATAGTGGAATTTTTTTAATCATTTTAGGCAGTAGCTCCAAAGGGCCTCCCCATTTCTCAATAGCTTTGATTTGTAGCAATAATGGTTATGCAATTTCCACACATTGTGCTTCAATCACAGCATGCAGGCAACAAGAAAAAGAAAACAACTGAAGGGGCTTGGAGTTGGAGATTTTGATAAGGTTTCCTTTTCAATTCACAAAGTTTTTTAACTGGGTATTTTTCTGAGGCAACTGAAATTATTCTACTGAGTTTTAAGCAGATATACATGGATGCAGCAAAGTGTCTCATTTTCTTAAATGTATCTATGGCAGCAATGCTGGTTAATGAAGTTGTGAAAAATGAACCGAAAAGAAACTATCGGGCTTACGAATTCCACAGTCGACAGATTGTTGGTCTTTCTCTTAAAAAAGAGAGAGAGAAAAAAAAAAAAAGATGCCATCTGTTTACAAAAAAATGAGAAATGTATTTCCCTTAGGGCATCATGCTACGGCTATTCAGAGAGAGGTCACAGTCATTTTGAGCGAGGATTTGGGACAAGGAGCAAGACCGCCTCAGGTCTGTACAATCATTGGTGGAAAACAACAAAGATGATTTCCTCTGGTCCCTATTTTAGTCCTACTCTTTGAACTTCCAACAGTTTATTTATTGTTGTTATTATTTTTAATTTGGCACAGATTGTTTCAAGAATCATCTTGGTTCCCTTTTTTGAAGTTCTTTTTTTTTTTTTTTTATTTGTTGAGACTGGTTTCTAAAAGTGCTCCACCTCCACCACCTGTCATTAGATGGGGGCCACGGCTGGGAGCACACTCGTCCGTTCTGAGCTCAGCTGCGGACTGGAGAGTGAAGGGCCACGGCAGACCAAGTGGAAGTGCAGATTTGGAGGTAGGTGGCAACACAGTGTTTCAAAATAAAAATCCCAAGTGTGGCTCAGAGATACATTTTCGTACGCTAAGTATACCAGGAGAAATAAAACTAATCTCTATCCACTTTAATTATCTCAGAAGGATTTTTTTTTCCCCTTACAAATAAAATCCTGGGAATTTTCCTCCCTGTTCATCCAATCATTTCCATGAGATTACTCCTTTGTGGGGCACTCATCACTAGATGGCATTGTGTAGTGTTTGTGGACAGCAGTCACTAGATTGGCAAAGTTACAGTTTGGGCCATTTGGGGGTAATTTTTTTCTTTTCCTTAGTATGAATCTAGAGAGTCTCATTCTGTTCCTAGATAGTTTATCTTTATATGTTTTATAGGTTTGGCTTTGTAAAATTTGTATATTCTTTGAGATTCTTTTTTTCCCAGTGTATTTTAGTATATGAGGCTGTGAAAATTTGTTTTAAATGAACAATGAATTCGTTCTCCCTCTAACTTTTCTTCCAAGTCACTTATACAAAAGCTTACTTACAAATACTTTGCAGAAATAAAATACAGAGCAACGGAAGCTAGGACCATTGCCTAGTCAGGCAGATAGAGAAATTACACGTATGAAACCTTGCTTTATCTATGTGTGAGCAGTTAAAACCTAGTCCTAGATAACCATGCAGATGGAATAATATTAAAATGATCAGTTAAAGCCTTCGTAAACCTGTGGAAATTTATAAAGAAAGTAAACAGGGACCAGCAGTTGGCGTAATGGCTATGTCACTGGACTCTCACATAGTCAACCATGGTTCGGGTCCCGGACCTGGTGACTTAAACTCATGCCAGGCATGTGTGTGTGCGTGCCCAAGATCCTGAGAGGAGAATGGAGGAGAAGGGATTGCGGCGTGGCCATCCCCCCTGGGGGGGTGATTTCTCACTTTCTGTCTCTCTGTCTCTCTGTTTCTCTCTGTCTGTCTGGCGAGCGCATGCACCCTATAACAAAAATTAAAAATAAAAAAAAAGAAGAAAGTAAACAGCCAGAAATAAGGAAAACTGAATAGAAGGAGATGGTGGTCACAGTCTCGTGCTCCTCCAGACATAACAGGTCATTCTGACCATTTTCATGTTGTATTCCAATAAACCTTAGGCTACTAAGGATTGGATTGTAATTTCAATCTTGTTAATAAAGCAGGACAAGTCTTTCTAAATTATAATTATGACTTAGTGACACAAGAGCTTGAAATTAATAATGCATAATAAAATGTTATTTGGAGTGAGGCTAGTAAGATAGAGGACAGATGAATAGGTGCTGGATGAATGGGTGGAGAGTTAGCATCAATATTCTGAACAGTTACTAGAATCATAATAGTGATCATCTTTATATTTTTCTTTTTTTTTTAAGCTATATGGCATGTGCACTTAATCAGAGAGAGAGAGAGAGAGAGGGAAAATGTAAAATCAATCCCCACCCCAGGAGGGACAGTCATGCTGCAATCCTTTCTCTTCCATTCTCCTCTCGGGATTTTGGGCACACATGCACCTGGCACGAATTTCCCTCTTTTCATTTTTTTTCTTCAAAGAATTATTTATTTTATCTATCATTATTATTATTATTTAAATTTGCTATAGTTACTAGAGACAGATGGGAGCCAGGGGCAGAATGAGAAAGCAAACCACCAGGTCTGGGATTCAAACTATGGTCAGCCATGTGGGAGTCCAGCACCCTAACCGTCACACCACCCACTGGCCCCATCACAGTGTGATTTTCAAGTGGCAGGGTCTGGGGGCTCAAATAGTGGAGTTGGTCATGTAGCATCCAGCTGCTGGCCCAATCTTTTTTTAAAGTTATTGATTAATTTATTTTATATGAGAGGGAGAGTGGGCAAGACCTCTTCAACAGGACCTCACCTCACCATGACCCTCCCAGCCCCAGTCCTCCAGTCAGCCTGCATCATGGATGTGTGTGCCCCACCAACTGTACCAGCATGGCAGGCCTTAATTTTCTGTTTTTATTTTCTTCTTTAGTATCTGAAAAGATGTTTCTGTTTCAGTTTGCTTTTGACTTTTCTTCATTCATTCATCCATTCAACAAACATTAACCAAACATCTATTTTGGATTTGATACCAGAGATGCTAAGATAATAAGACAGTAAATTCACCCTCATAAAACCTTTAGTCTTTAACATTATTATGCATTGATACAGTAAATATCCAAGTCAGTCATGGGAGGAGAGATAGAGGGAAGAAAGTGAAAGACTCGTGATGCAGAGTGTTGTCGAAGAAACCAGACACGTGGTTTACAGTTATAGCTCTGCTGATAGCTCACGTTGCAGCCCTGGACCCCCCTCCATGTGCATTCAAAAATCATTGTATGTGAAAATGCTCTGTAAACTGTAAATACCTTAAAAATGTAAGGTTTTTAAGCTTCCTAATTTGCACAACTTTTAAGTAGAACTTTGATCCTACAATCAAGAGTTTCCTCCCTTTTAATTTTCCCCTCTATTTCAAAATTCCAACTGCATAAATACAAACCCATAAAATTTACAACTCACTTTGTGAAACAGAAAGTGGGCAGAAACACCTTGACCCTAGAGAGAAAAGATGAACGGCTAAACCAAATGGATGTGATTTCGTGGGACTCTACAACAATGACACTGTGATGAGCCCCTTTCCCTTTTCTTTTTCTCCTCATTCTTGCCACTTCTCTTGGTTCCTGAAAAGAGAAATGTAATTTCCAGCAGATTCTGTAACAATAACACATTTGAGATGAAAAGACATCTTGTGAGTTTCATTCTGGTCCTAGAACTTTACCTCTCTACATTTTGAGGTAGAAAAATACCAAAAGAAGATCTAGTTGATTATTAGATTAGGAGATGCGGCATAGTACTATCAATTCTTATACTAGTTCAACAGTTGTAGAAAATACTTCTTGTTTGTTCCCCACCCTCAGGGCAGTCATACCGTAAGTTACAAAAGATAATTCAGAAAATTTCCCTTTTTTCCACAGACTATATGGCATAGAAGCCCACAAAGAAAGACACATAAAAGGTGTTCTTCTTGGTCAAGTCCTTAACTGGATCTAATATGTGCAGAAAAGTATTTTATCTCAATTTCCTGGTCTATTCTGTGGGGACTTGGTCTTGTACTTTGTTACTGAATTTAGCTGTATTTGTAGTATGACAATAGCTTGTCAGTAAAGATGAATTTCTAATTAAGAATTTGAGCTGAAAATGTTCCTTCAATGTATAAGTATATTCTTGTTTGAAACCTATTTCATAAGAAAAGAGGATAAGTAGCTTGGATTCATCCTACCTATAAAAAATACATACCTATCCTTATTTTGAATGGTTAGTTTCCTTCCAGGATACTTGTTTATCATTAACCATAAGCTCTGAGACAATTTGGAAGCATAGAAAAAGAAAGTTTGGGAACCAGCAGTTAGCGTAATGGCTATGTCGCTGGATTCCCACGTAGTTGACTGCGGTTCGCGTCCCGGAACTGGTGGCTTAAAACTCACGCCAGGCGCGTGTGCGTGCGTGCCAAGATCCCGAGAGGAGAATGGAGGAGAAGGGATTGTGGCGTGACCATCCCCCCTGGGGGTGATTTCTCACTTTCTGTCTCTAATGTCTCTCTCTGTCTGTCCGGTGAGCGCACGCGCCCTATAGCGAAAATCTCTCAAAAAAAAAAAAGAAAAAGAAAAAGAAAGTTTAGACCAAAATACCTATTTAACATATTATTTCTTTCCCAACTTGGCCTTCATTTTTCAGGTTTATGACTTTTTAAAAAAATACTATTTCAAGCCAATTGCTGTTATAAGAATGACTTATTAGTGTACAAAGGACCTAGGAAATGGAATTCAGTTTCACCAGTTTCAGAGACCATAGCACTTCAGCTTTCCATCATCAGTATTCAGTATTAGGGAGGAAAGATTTTCTTTTAATCACAAAAGTATGTGCACCCACATATAGCCATGGATAAAACTTCCCTGGAAGGAAGCAATGATTTTTTTTTTTTAATGATTTTGGGAAACTGTACTGAGACTTTTCTCTAAAAATAAAACAGCATTTCATCAGTACTGGTCATTTTTTAGCCTCATTTGACAAATGATCACAGATGCTCATGAAAATCTAAAGGAAACTGAAGCTGTTCTCTTGTGAAGTGGCTAAATATCTTTCCTTTAAACTGTATTTTACAACAAAAACAAACTTTACCACTTTGATTGAAGAAAATGCAGGAAGCCATATGGTCCCACCCAGAGTCTCTCTGCATGCAAAATGTCGTCCTGGGGAAGAAAGTTCAAGGTGTTTTTAAGAACAGAACTTTTATGTTTCTGCTTATTAACAATAGCACTTCCTGTTTTGAGCTCTAACTACACTGAGGCTATCAAGAAAGTCACATTATGGACTTCTCCATTTTGCACAGTGAAGAACATTTAGATTCCCTCTCACCGTGTGTGCAGTTCAAAGTGATTATCGCCACTCAGTTCTTCTTAGGGTGTATAACTTGATCTATGGTCCCCAACAGGGCTGGAATGTTCAGTAATTTATAGTTACCTTGTCATGAGTCAAGTAGTCAAGTGAAGAGAATATACAACATCTTCTGTCTTAAGTACACTTGAAGTTAATGTCTCTAAATGACCCCAGGGGTTCATTCACTAAGTTATTAGAAGTAAGTACGAGGCTGGCTCTGTAGCATGGAGGTTAAGCCTTGTGCATTAAGAGCTAGATCCCACATGGCCACCTGCAGATCCAACCCGGCCCTGGTGGCTTAAAATACATGCCAGCCACATACGTGTGAGTACCCAAAATCCTGACAAGGTGGAGAAATGGGGGGAAAAGAATGGCACCATAACTGCATTACATTGAGGTGTTCTTTCTTTTTCTCTCTCTAATATACATGCTCTCTGGAATTAAAAGAAAAATAACAAAGAAAAGTAAATAGAGATTAATGGGACCTAAAGATGTAGATATGACATCAAAATAAATAAAAGTGGGGCCAGCAGGTGGCATGGTGGTTAAGAGTGCTGAACTCTCATGTCTGACTACAGTTCAAGTCCCAGACCTGGTGGCTTGCTTTCTCACTTTCTCTCTCTCTCTGTGTCCATTTCTGGTCAAATTAAAAATAAATAAATAAATAAATAAATAAATAAAGTTTAAAAACATAATTATTTAAAAAACATAAATAAGGGACCAGCAGTTAGCTTAATGACTATGTCGAAGGACTCCCATGTAGTCAACCGTGGTTCGCGTCCCAGACCCAGTGGCTTAAAAAACTCACACTGGGCGCGTGTGTGTGCGTGCCCAAGATCCCGAGAGGAGAATGGAGGAGAAGGGATTGCGTTGTGGCCATCCCCCCTGGGGGGTGATTTCTCGCTTTCTGTCTCTCTGTCTCTCTCTGTCTGTCTGGCAAGTACACGTGCCCTATAGCAAAAGCTTCTCAAAAAAAAAAAAAAACATAAATAAATAACAAAAGCATTTTAGAAAGTAATATTCTCGGTCTCTATACTATAACCTTTTCTCTTTTATTAAGTTTTTGCCATAGGGCATGTGTGCTTGCCATGAGAGGAGAGAGACAGAGAGAGGGAAAATGAGAAGGTAACCCCCCAGGGAGGATGGCTATACTGCAGTCCCTTCTCCTTTCCTTTCTCAGGATTTTGGACACACCTGCATATATGTCTGGTATAATTTTCAAGCCACCAGGTGCAGGACACAGACTGTGATCCATGTGAGTCTATGTGGGAACCCAGCTACCTTAACCACCATGCCACCTGCTGGCCCTCTATACTACAACATTTTTTTTTTTTTTTAAGGTATACTTCAGGAAGCCAGCTAGTGGCACAGTGGTAACGCAAAGCTCTGTGATGCTAGACTCACCTGAGAAGGTCCCAGGTTTGCAAACTGCAGATGCATCTGTGTTCCTAATCCAGGCCAGCTGAGGCCAGGAGTGAATTTCAGTAAGACGACTTTGCTGGCGGCCAGCTCATGGCCAGCGTGGTGGTTAAGACGGTTGGAGTTCCAGATTCAGTGGCTTGAGAAACATGCTTGTTTCAGGTGTGTTCACGCCCCAAAATCCTGAAAGGAAGGAGAAATGGAGGTGAAAGGATTGTAGCATGACGATTCTCCATGCACATGTGCCCTCTAGCAAATTTTAAAAATAAATAAATAACAAAAAGACCTTGTTGGGAGTGTCAGTCTCTAGCTCTCTTATAGGAGAAAGAAGTAAATTCAATAAACTTGAAAAAATAATACCACATATTGAATGAAGTAGAATATCATACCCAGTGAAAAAAACAACCACTTTTCTATTATCTGTATTGTTGTGAGAATGACAGTTTATTAGAAACAAAGATAAGTTCCTTAATAACAACAGCAAAACGTATCTTAAAATTTATCTTTAAGTTTTTTTTTCTTATACTCAGAGAGGTCATGCATTCACCAGGGAAA